AGAAGCTCTTCCCACATTCCCCACACTTGTAGGGCCTCTCCCCAGTGTGGATGCGCCGGTGGGTGATGAGGGTGGAGTTTCGCTTGAAGCCCTCCCCACAGTCGGGGCAGCGGAAAGGCCTCTCATCTGTGTGAATCCGCTGGTGCAGGAGGAGAGTGAAGCTGGTATGAAACCTCTTCCCACACTGGAGACACTCGTAGGGCCTCTCCCCTGTGTGGATGCGCTCGTGGATGATGAGGTGGGACCTCCGGCTGAAGGTCATCCCACATTCCTCACACTCATAGGGCCGATCTCCGGTGTGGATCCTCTGGTGGCTGATCAGGCTGGAGCTCTGGCTGAAGCTTTTCCCACATTCCCCACACTCATAGGGCCTCTCCCCAGTGTGGATGCGCCGGTGCCTGATGAGGTGGGAGTTTTGCTTGAAGCCCTCCCCACAGTCAGGGCAGCGGAAGGGCCTCTCATCCGTGTGAATCCGCTGGTGCACGAGGAGAGTGGAGCTGGTCTGAAACCTCTTCCCACACTCGGAACACTCGTAGGGCCTCTCCCCAGTGTGGATGTGCCAGTGCCTGAAGAGGTGGGAATTTTGCTTGAAGCCTTTCCTGCACTTGGGGCAGCGGAAGGGCCTCTCATCCGTGTGAATCCGCTGGTGCCTGAGGAGATGGGAGCTCCTCTGAAACCTCTTCCCACACTCGGGACACTCGTAGGGCCTCTCCCCAGTGTGGATGCGCTGGTGACGGATGAGTTGCGAGTTAAAGCTGAAGCCCTTCCCACATTCCCCACACTCGTAGGCCCATTCCCCAGTGTGGATCATCTGGTGGCAGATCAGTTTGGTGCTCGACCTGAAGCTCTTCCCACACTCCAAGCACTTGTAGGGCTTCTCCCCATCCTGAGGCTGCTCATGGACCACCAGCTCAGAGCCCCGGCTGGATCTCCGGCCGCCTTCCCGGCACAGGGTGGGTCTTTCCTCCTCAGAGCACCCTGGGATGGGTTTGGAGCCCCTCCTCCGGCGGGATCTCTGGGGATTTTCCTCCCCATTGGGTTCCTGTGGTGTGGAGCTGCTCAAAATGGCCTCTTCCATGAGGTTCTGCCGTGGGGATTTGTCCTCCCTGGTCTCCATCCTCAGCTCCTTGTCTGGGGGAGGAAGGACAAGGAGAGGATGGGATTTGCCTCCGTGCCAGAGGGAAGGGGAAGGAGATCCCCCCAGTGCGTCCCCGGCAGGACGGCGTCGGCAGCGGGGTTGTCCTGCAGCCGGGGGCCAGGCTGGGCTGGGAGATGGAGCAGGAGAGAGGGGGAAAGGGGCACTGACTTCCTCCTCACCTGCCTGGGTGTCCTGGGGCATCTTCCTCTTCATCCCAGCTGCCCTCTCCATCTGGCCAAGGTTTGGGAATGAGAAATCCTTGTTTCCGGAAATATACAATGCATGAGTACATTGGGTTAGGGTGTTCCTCCTGATCAAGTTCATCTCTAGAAGTCACCGGGCATCTGGGGCCCATAAAAACCTCCCAAACACCAATATTCAGCCCTGAAAATGCCTCCCAGGAGTTCCCCATCTCTGTTCTCTCCCAGTTGCGGTTTAGGGATCCCCCCCAGCTGCTGGGGGTCACGCTTGCACTGGGGTTCCTTTGTCTGCTCGGTCCCTGCCTACCCCAGGTTGCTGGGAGTGCCTGGAATCCAAAAAGTTCCCCCCGTTTCCATCTCCTCATTTAGGAATGATGGGGCTTTTTGGATTCCTATGGTCCCTTATCCCCTTACTCTCTGCTTTGGGGTGCAGAAGGTCCAAGGAGTCCCCCCTGCCCCTCTCCAGGCTGTTGAGGGTCCCGTGAATCGTGGCGCTCCCCCTCTCTGGGCTCCCCACTTTGGGGTCCTGGGAGTCACAGGGCTCTGCTCCCCCAGGCTGCCTCTGAGAGCAGCCGCCACCAGGACCCCCCAATGTCCCCCCAAGGGGCATTTTCTGCTTAGCTTTGGAGTTCTTCATTCTCCAAACATTCCCCCAGAAAAACTCAACCCAGGCACCCCCCAGGATATCTGGGTCAAGCTCCCCCTCCCTGGTCATTGCTGGGATAGGGGGTGATGATCCCACGGGTGGGATCTCATGGGTGACAAGGGGCTGTGAATTCAGGGAGTGCTCGACCTCATGTTTCCTCCTCCTTTCCATGATCCTCCTTTGTCCCTCCTCTTCTTCTTCCTCCCTAACGCCAGCTTCTTCTCCTACGTCCATCCCTTCTCACTCTCCTTCTTCATCCCTCCTCTTCCATCTCTCCTCCTCCTCCCCCAGGAGCAGCGACACCCTCGGTGCCCCGTTCCCAAACCCCTCACAGCCCACGGCAGGAGCGGGGATGGAGCCGGGACAGGTCGGGATGGGCAGCGCGGGGCTCTCCGCTGCTCCCACCCGCTGGGGACGGGGGGAACCCGGCCCGGGGAAAAGGAGAGGGAAACTGGGAAAACTGGGGGCTGCAGATCCAACCTGGGGCTGGCTGGGGACCCTGGCTGGGGACTGCCAGCCCTTGGGGCTCCTCTGGGGAGATGTGAGAGGGGGGAACACAGAGAGGGCTGGGGGATCCCAGGAGTGGCAGCACTGGCAGGGACTGGTTTGGACTGGGGTAACTGGAACCTTACTGGGGCAACTAGGAATGACTGGGAATGAGCACAAGCATGCTGAGGGCAACTGGGATATACTGGGAGCATCTGTGACCATACTGGGGGGATTGAAATCACACTGGGAACAACGGGAACCATGCTGGGGACAACTGGGAGCGAGTGAGAGTGACTGGACCTACGCTGGGTGCAACTGTAATCACACTGGGAGGGACAGGGAGCAACTGGAACCATCCTGAGGGTAACTGGCATCCTACTGGGATCACAGTGGGAGCAGCTGGGTCCCTGCTGGGGTGGACTGGGATCCCACTGAGGGTGACTGGAATCATACTGGGATTGACTGGGAGTGGCTGGGAACAACTGGGATCATGCTGAGAGCAACTGGGAGGAGCTGGGAATGACTGGGAGCGTGCTGGGGCTGACTGGGATATACTGGGAGAGACAGGGAGTCCCAGGGATCACACTGGAGGCTACTGGGGTCACACTGGCACTGCCAGGGAGCAACTGGGGGCCACTGGCCTCATCCTGGGAGTGACTGGGATCAGACTGGGAGTGACTGGGATTAGACTGGGAGTTACTGGGATCAGATTGGGAGTGACTGGGATCAGACTGGGAGTGACTGGGATCAGACTGGGAGTGTGGCGGAAACTGGAAAACTGCGGAAAAAAATGGGAAAACAGGATAAATTCAAGGAAAATAGAAGGGAAGAAACAGAAAAAAATCAGGGTGAAATAAAAAGGGGGGAAGAATCAGGAAAAAATTGGGGAAAAATTGGGAAAAATGGAAACATTTGACAAAAAATTGGTGAAAACTAGGAAAAATTTGGGGGAAAAAAGAAAACTCAAGGAAAAAATGGGAAGAACAGGAAAAAATCAGGAAAAGAAAGTCAAAAAAATCTGGGAAAAATGGGGAAAAAATCAGGACAAATAAGAAAAGAAGGAAAAATCATTAAAAACTAGAAAAAATGGGAAAAAAATCAGAAAATCAGAAAATCAGGAAAAAAACTGGGAAATAACTTGGAAAAATTGGAGAAAATACAGAAAATAAAGAGGTTAAAATACGGGGGAAAAAAAGGGAATAAATGGGAGAAAATCTGGAAAAGACCCAGGAAAAATCAGGGAAAAATTAGGAAATTTGAGAAAAAATTGGGAAAAAGCTAGAAAAAAATTTGGGAAAGGAAAAGAGAAAAATCAGGAAAAATGGGAAATACATGAAAAAACCTGTAAAAAATTGTGAAAAATCAGGGAAAGTATTAAGAAAAGAAAGCTGAAAAGACCCTCGGAAAAATCAGGAAAAAATTGGGAAAAATATTGGAAAAATCAAGGAAAAACCAGAAATATTTGAGAAAAAATTGCAAAAAACTCAGGAAAATGATTGGGGAAAACCAGAAAAATTTGGGAAAGGAAAAGGGAAAAATCAGGAAATAAAATGGGGAAAAAATGGGAAAAAATACAAAAATGAAGGAAAAGTTTTAGAAAAAATTGGGAAAAAAATGGGAAAAAATCAGAAAAATAAAGACATCGTGAAAAAAATCAAAAAAAATCAGGAAACAAATAGGGAAAACCAGGAAAAAGATTGGGAAAAAATTGGGTAAAATTGAGAAAAAAGAGAGGGAAGAAACCTGGAAAAATCAGGAAAAATCAGTAAAAAAATTAGGAAATACAGGGAAAAAACAGGGGAAAATTGTGAAACAACTGGAGAATAAGCAGGAAAAAACTGCAAAAAGAAGAGGGAAAAATCAGGAAAAAATGAGTGAAAATAAGGAAAAAATTGGGAAAAAACAGGGAAAAAATCAGAAAAGAAAGAGGAAGAAGACCAGGAAAAAAACTGTGAAAAATTAAGGAAAAAAAATCAAGGAAAAAATGAGGAAAAAGAAAGAGGGAAAAAAAAATCTTGGAAAAATGGGGAAAAAAATTAGGAAATAGCCAGGAAATATTTAGGAAATGAACATGAAAA